ACAGCAGCACCAATAGCAGCAGTAGCAGCAGTACCAATGGGAAGGCTATCCTATATAACACAAAGGAAATCTTAGAGGCAGCAGCAACAGCAACAATAGCAGCAAATATACAGCAGCAGCAGCAGCAACAACAACAACAGCAGCAACAACAACAGCAGCAGCAGCAACAGCAGCAGTAGCAGCAACAGAAGCAGCAACAGGGAACTTACTTCTTGGCATTGAGCTATAGGCCTTAGTGATGTCCCACGCACACCAGCAGCTGACTGCTGCTGCTGCTGCTGCTGCTGCTGGTGCAGCTGAGGAGTGGCAGCAGCAGCAGCAGCAGCTGCTGCTGCTGCTTGTGTTGCACCTAACGTAGAGAAAAAACTAGCAGGCTGACCATGGGGCAGCATCAGCAGCTCTTGCTGCTGTTGCTGTTGCTGCAGCAGCAGTTGCTGCTGCTGTTGCTGCAGCTGCAGCAGCTGCTGCTGCTGCACCGTCTTTGGGGCGTCTGTGCTGCTGTATCTCCTCCTAGAGTTTGCGGTGTACGTACACTCGGAGGTAGGAGGTGGGGTGAAGGTTCTCCTGCTGCGCTGCTGCGGCTTGAGTACTGTTGCTGCTGCTGCTGCTGGTCTGTATCCAGCAGCAGCAGCAGCCGGCTCAAGAGCACGCAGGTAGCCACCGGATAAGCATGCAGCGCAGCGGCGGCCGCAGCTGCAGCGGCTGCTGCTAGAGGGGGCCTCTCCCCCTCCTTTGGGGCCCCATACCCTACACGGGATCACTGCAGCACAGCAGCAGCAGCAACAGCAACAGCAGCAGCAGCAACAACAGCAACCATAACACAACAGCAGCAGCAGTGGCTGTACCTCGCGATCTTTCCTAAGGAGCTGAGGTGTATGTGCAGCAACCTGAGGTGTATATGCAGCAGGAGTCTGCTATGTAAGAGTTCTAGGGTTTTCTTTGCTGCTGCTGCTGCTGCTGCTGTTGCTGTTGCTGTTCCTGCTGCTACTGCTGCTGTTGCTGCTGCTGCTGCGACTTGATCATTCTTTTTTCCCTCCTTTTTGTTCTCTTTCCCTCTGCATGCACTTACTGTTGCTGCGTATACACCGCAGAATTCTTCAAGTCTTGCAGGTAAGGGTAGCAGTGTGTAAGGGGCCCCCAAACCCTAAACCCTAAACCCTAAACCCTAAACCCTAGGAGGTATAGCGGCCCCCATAGGTCCATAGGGGCCCCTTTTTGCCTCTTTTTATTATAATTAATAATTAAAAATAAAAATAATATATTTAAACAAAAATAAAAAGGGTTTAGGGGCCCCCCTACCTAAACCCCAGCCCTATACCACCCACCGACCCTCTTACTTACGCCTCCTTGCTAGGGTTTAGGGTTTAGGGTTTAGGGTTTAGGTATTATTAGGAATAGTAGGAGTATAGGGTTTATTTTTTTTTATTCTTTTTATTAATAATAAATTAATAATTTATTTTTATTGTCTTTTTTTATTTATTTATTTATTATAAATAAATATATATTATACAGACATATAGTTTGCTGCTATAGTATTGCTGCTAGGCCTCCTGCTAGGACTGCTGCTGTTGCTGCTGCTGCTGTTGCTGCTGCTGCTGCTGCTGCTGTTGCTGCTGCATTAACACTGCATATACATTAATAATGCAATAAACACACAGCAGCAGCAGCAACCGTGCTGCAGCAAAGTGGCTCAGTACGTCATCGGCTGCTGCTGCTGCTGCTAGCAGCAGCAGCAGTGTGTCGTAACACAGCAGCACGGGTAAGAACTATTGAAATACACACTGCAGCAGCAGCAGCAGCAACAACAACTATGCTAGCTGCTGCTGCAGCAACAGCAGCTATGCCTGCTGCTGCTGCAACAGCAACTATGCTCTCCCTCTATTTGTCTCCCCGTCCTCCTGTCTCCGTGAGTAGCAGCAGCAATAAATTAAAGAGCAGCAGCAGCAGCAGCAGCAACAGTAGCAGCAGCAGCAGCAGCTATAGACACAGAAAGAGACAGAGAGAGAGACAGGAGAAGAAATAAAGGAGACAAAAAGAGACAAAAAAAGGCTTATCCTTTTTCTCCCTCTACTGCTGCTCCTACAGCCTCCTTGCTGCTGCTGCTGCTGCTGCCTCTTTGCTGCTGCTGCTGCAGCATATTAATAATTAATCAAGAATAATAATAAATAAGAGGCATAATTAATTAATTAATTAATTAATAATAAAGAAAAAATAAATAAATAAATAAACAAGAAAAGTTAATTTATTTAGCTGTACATACACCTCCACATACACCAGAAAAAACACAAAACTGCCAAATGCTGCTGCTGCTGCTGCTGCTGCTGCTGCTGTAGCAGCAGCAGCAGCAGCAGCAACAGCAGAAGCAGCAGACATCCTCCGCTGCTGATGTTGCTGCTACCGTTTGTTTTTTGTTTCTGCAGCGCCTGTCTCGGGCTCTTGCTGCTGCTGCTCCAGCTGCTGCTGCTGCTGCTGCTGCTGCTGCTGCTGCTGCTGCTGCGAG